AAACTATAGTTATACTAGGATTCTTATATCTTATTAATAGTAACTAAGTATAGACTTACTAGTAGTTATAAGTATAAAATACTACTTCCTATAAATAAAATAACTAAGTTCTTAAGGATTATAATAAAGGAGTAGATTTATAAGTATTAATAAAAGCTTAGCTTAGCCCTTTATCTAATAGTTATAACTTATCCTAATATAGTAAAGGTAGTAAATCATCTTACTGAATTCCTAGTTAACCTAAGACCTAAGTATTATAAGGTAGTTAATCGCTTGATCTAATATCTATATAATATATAATATCTAGCTCTTAAGTACTACCTATTATATAAATAACTAGTACTTTACTTCTTTAGTAATATATTATTTAGCGACTATTCTAACTAGAAAAGCTTAGAAGGCTTCCTTTATAAACTATTCGGTATAGTAATAGATTAGAAGGCTAGTAAGTAATATATAGTTATAACTTTAATAACTAAGGCTAAGCTTCTTACTATCTCTAAGGCTAGAAAGTTAGTAATATAGTAGGAACAGCTACTCTATATAGTTAATCTTAACTACTAGACCGATCTTATTATTAATTATAATAACTAATAGATAGTTAATTTACTTACCTACAAATAACTGTAATTATAAACTAAGCTTTACTATATCGATATCTATAACTATTAGCTATACTAAGAGGTTAATACTAGCTATATCTTAATCTAGTAGGTAGCTACTACTAATATATAGGTAGATAGGCTTACTAAGTTACTACTAGTATAGTCCTACGAAAAGTTTGTTTAGTCCTTAGGATTAGTAGATATCTAGGATCTGGTAGATAGATAGATAGCTTGATAATAGATAAGACGAATTTAGGAGCTATAATATAGCTTCTAGGGGGGTATATCGACCAGAAATGATATACTTCCGTACGTTCCTTATATCTGGTAGTATATTAGTAGTCAGCAGCCATATATAGCGATTATATAAATATATACTAAGATAGATCTCGGAGGAGAACCCTCCTTTTTATAATTACACTCATTTTACCCTTTGGTCTAGTATCCTATTGCTTGTACCATACAAAACAGCCTCTCTTTTGTTCAACATATACTTTAATCCCTTAATATTAGTATATTTAGTATTTATAAATATTAGTATAGTAAGGTAGTTAAGGTAGCTATAATAAGTAGATACTATAGATTTTTAAAGGATAAATTCCTATTCTTAATTACTAAAATTCGATAAAAAACCTTCTAACTATATATAATTAAGCTTAGGTTTAAATTAACTAACCTTTAGCCTATTAATTCTAAGCTTATTACTAATAAATTAGATTTATATAATCTATATAATAATAATTTACCTTAGCTAGATATACTATTAACTATCTTATAATATACTAAGTTTAGTACTCTAAAAACTACTAAAAGAATTTAAAGAATTAGTATTTATCTTAATTAAACTAATCCTACTACTTAGTAGTTTAAAGAAGGGCTTATAAAGCTTATAAAGGGAGCTAAGGCTTAGGCTACTTTAGTACTTTAGCTATAGCGGGAATTTAATTATATAGAAGCAATTATAGGGATATACTATACCTAGTATAATACTTCTTACTAGAATATTCGAATTACTAGTATTATTAATTCATCCTAGGTTAAAGAAATGAAGTAGAAAGAATATAAATTAACTGAGAAAGCCGATTAAGAAAAAACGAAGTAGAAGTAGAAGAAGGTCTTAATTAAGGTTAGGAAGTATAGAAGGGCATAAAAACGGCTAGGGAAGTGATTTTTTTTTATATTTTAGTAGTAAATTGGTTAATATATATAGTTCTTTTATTAAATTATTGAATTTACTATATGGTGGTAGTAATTAAGGTAAAAGTATAAAAATTGAAAAAAAACCGCCTACTAGGTAGGCCCTACCATATAGGTAGCAGACCCTCGCTTACAAGGGTCCGTATTTTTAGTAAAAAAATTTTAAGGCTTACTACTTAACTAAGTAGGACTTATTCTTTTTATCTTAATAGGATAGGATATATTTAATCTTATACTCTACCTAATTATTAATCTTAATTAGTTTAGGAGTATTATTATTAGTTAGAATATTACTATAATATAATTCTAATACTAATATATAGTATATTAGGTATAGTAATCTAAAATAGGGAGATAGATATAACTTATGTACTTATATACCGACCTTCTTAAGAATTAGAAATAGACCTAGTATTTTATAATCTAGTTTCTTACTTAGCCTACCTATTTCTATATTCTTACTCTTAAAATATATCTAATTACTAACCTTAAAGGATTTATCTATATAGTATTTATCTATATAGTACTTTATCTATATAGTACTTTATTAACTCTTTTACCTTAGTAAGTCACTTTTTTATAAAGCCTCTTATTTCTTAGATTTTCTATACCCTCTATATAGTATCTATATAATATTCCTTAGGGTACTCTTTAATACTATCTTAGATAGATAGGTTATAACCTATTAATACTTTATATAATAACTTTCTAGTTATACTATAAGTTATTATATTATATATAAATACTATAATAGGTAGCTAGTATACCTAGTTATCTTACTTCTAGTTAATATATAACTAAAGGAAATACTCTAGTACCTAATTTTAGTATTTAGTCTAGCTATTAGTTTAGGAGTAGAATATAGTAGATAACTAGTACTTAACTATAAGGAGAAAATAGAAGGTTAACTAGAACTAGCTAATAAATAAGCTACCTCTATTACTTACTAGGTTCTCTAGTATACTAAAGATTAGAATTATATATTTATATAATAAATCTACTAACTTAGGTATATTAATTTCTTTTATATAAGGAAGATAAAGGGTATACTTTATAAATATATCTACTAAGATAAGTACTATATTATATACCTTACTATTCTATTATAATAGAGATATTCTAGTAATAAAATCTATACTAAGCTACCTACTAGGCCTCTTAAATACTAGTAATAGCTATAATAATCTATATAGCTTATACCTATAAATTAAATTATATTAATAACTTATATAGTTATATATATACTCTCTTATATCCTTTATAATTCTATACTAATAGAACTTATACTAGATATCTTTATGATTTTATATGAGACTATAGTCTCTCTTAGGATATAAATATAGTTATTATACCTAAATAGCCTATCTAGTATTAATCCCTAAGGTATATTACTTAGCTTTTATTTACTAATACTATCTTCTATTTTTATATAGATATCCTATAATATTAGATTATAATCCTATATTATATAAAGTAATTCTATTATAGAGTTCTTTAGTACTAGCATATATACTATTTTACCTTAAAAAGCTCTTATAGCTATTAGGTATAGTACTAGGGGGTCTAGAATTCCTATATTATTAGTAGTATAATACTTATCTATAATACTTATATTATAGGTATTATATACTATATTATTATAGTCCTCTACTATACTATATAGATAATTAGATTTAAGTACTAATATTATATTAACTACCTTTATAAAGATATATAATTTTAGATCTAGTATTACTATAACCCTATATATTAGGGTAGATTATAATCTTTATACTATTTCTTTATTATTATTAAGACTCTTTTATAGCTTTTCCTAAAAAGTAGGTAAAAGTAAGTTCTCTAAGAACTCTCTTTCCTTAGATATATAGTCTAGTTAGTAACTAGGTATATTAGTAGGATTTAAGGTTATTAAATAGTACTTAATAATAAAGTTAAATATAGTAAGCTTCTCTATCTACTTTATCTAATATCTAGTTAACTCCTTTATAGTTATAAAGTATTATAGGTTAATATAATTAGATAGTATTAATATAGGGAATTTACTACCCTTAAGATAGTATCTCTAATATTTAAATAACTTAATAATTATAAGTAATTCTAAATTATATATTTTATAGTATATTTTAGTACTAATTATCTTTCTAGATTAGAAAGTAATTAGGTATTAGTAACCCTTAGAATCTAGTTATATAGTAATTACTATTATAGTAAATCCTAAATTATCTAGCTTAATTTATATAGATTTCTCTAGGTTAAAGTAGAATAATATAGGTATACTTAAGAAATATTTCTTTATTTCTTTAAAGGCTACCCTTACTTTAGGTATAAAGATAAAGCCTTACTTTTAATAATTTATACCTTTCCTCTTTAGAGTACCCTTTATTAACTTAGATAGGGATATAGTAATATATAAGTAATTCTTAATAAATTACTAGTAAAAATTCCTAAAACTAATAAATTATTATATATTATATAAGTACTATAGTTCTAGCTATTCTAAGATAGTATAAATCCTCTCTAGTTCTATAGATATACCCTTAGGTATAATTAGGAAGCTAAGAAAAGCTACTAACTTTATATAGAAGGTATATTTCGATATTTTTATATATAACTTATATATATAATCGTGCTAAGCGCCTAAAACACGTCCCGTATATTAGTATACCCCACTTAACGATAATTTTCACTTAATAATAATTTTATTAAAATAATTCTAGTTAACTTAATATTTATAAGTAACTACCCTGACTATCTATATATTAATTTCTATGATTAAGATTCCTTACTAATATTAAAGCTTTATACTTAGCCTTAACTAAATCCCTAGCCTTTTAGGCTTACTATTTAGCTTCTAACTTCTTAGTATATTTTACCTAGAACTACTCTAACTTTTTAGAATCAGCTATTTACCTATCTACTATCTTCTTATTTATATAGATTAGTACTAGTACTAAGCCCTATATTCTAAGAATCGATTATCTATTTTTCTTAGTTTCTATATTTAATCTAGAGGTACTAGCCTTTTTTAATTCTACTTTAAGAATAGCGACCTCTTAGCATAAAAGTAGATTTATAGCTGTCTTACCGCCCCTATACCTATTCCAGGTATGGGTCTATCCCACATAACAGAAGATTCCCATAAAACAGAAGATTTTTCTTTTTATACCAACTTCCTACCAATTTTTTTACCATAATACAATGCCGAAAAAAGCTAAATATTCAGAGGATAAAATGTAACTAGCTGTTAAAGCCTACTATTAAAGAAAAAAACCAAAAATCGCCCTATTAGCACAAGAATTCTCTATTTTATATATAACCCTCTATACGTATATCTATAGTAGTAAGACTTATTCTAACTATACTGACCTTTCTAAAACACTTAGTCTAATTTAGGAAAAGGTACTTATTAGCTAGGCTACTTTACTAGATACCAATTATATTTAACCTATACCTAAAGAGATTAAAGAGACTATAAACCAACTTTTATAATATATAGGTTATAATATTTCTATTAGTTATAACTAGGTATATCGCTTCCTTACTAGACTACCCCCCTACCTTAAATATATTATATAAAAACCTAAGGAAAAGGTATATATAGATAGTAAGAGTATTAAGGGTCTTACTCTTTGGTTTTACTATTTCTTAAAGGTTATAGAAGAGTATAAACTCCTACTTTATAAGATTTATAATTAGGATAAGACTAGCTACTAAATTAGCTAAGGAAAGCTATATAAAGTTATATCTTCTTATTCGACTAGTTATATTACTACCGGTAGTCTTACTAAATTAATTACTAGTATTAAATATATTACTATAGATAGTTAGGCGATATTACTATAGTTCTTAGTTAAAGGATACTAGTAGATAGAAGAATAGTATACTAATATTATAATCCCTAATTTTTATATTAAACCTACCCCTAAGGGGTAGATTAATAATAATACTATATTTAAATAGCTTCATTCTTTTTATAAGGCTATAAAAAACTAGGTCTAAAAGGATAGGCCCTATATTCTTCTAATAGATAATTATCTATCTTATACCTTACTTAAATTTACTACCTTTTATACTAATAAATTTATTATCCTAATCTAGTTTTTACCCTATACTACCTACTTATACTAACCTCTCGATAGCTAGGTATTCTAATATATTAAATACTACTTTAAAAAGTCAAATAATAAAGTAGTAATATAGGGTAGAAGTATTAGCTAAAAGTAGGATTTTTTCTAGATAATTAGTAAGATATAAAGTAATACCTTTACCTAATAAACTATTAGATTATCTTTTAGTTCTTATAGTATTTTTCCTTTTAATCCTAAGAAAATTATTAGTCCTTTATAGGAATAGGTACTTAAGGGAGAAGTCCTAAGGATTATTAATATACTATTATCCCCCCCTAAGCTATCTAGTTTAGTAATAAATTTACTACTAGATACTATCCTATAGGTTAAGAAGCTTAATAATAAGCTTCTTAATAATCTAGTTAAGCTAGATAATTTATCTATATATATAAAAAGGTATATTTATCGAAGTATAAACGTAAGTTCTCTTCTAGCCTAATAGCTTAAAATTTATAAGGTTTCTTTAAAGAAGTCTTAGGACTATAGATCGTAAGTAAGTACTCCTAAAAATTATAAATTAATTCTTAATATAGGTCTAATAGTACTTATACTAGTAAATATAAATTAAAAAAAGGTAGGAAGCTGACTAGAAGAAGATTCAGAGGCTATAAGAAAAACACGCCTAGTTAGCAGAAATTAAACAATAGGCTTAAATAGTAAAGGATACAGCTAAAGCTAAACGTAAGGCTAGATTATCGGCTAGGTATAGTAGTCCTAGGAAATAGTATTTAGATAGTCGTGGTAGTTATATATAAATAGGTATTTGAAGTTATGGTAAAATTGAAAATCTTCTGTTTTGTGGGAATCTTCTGTTATATGGGATAGACCTACCCTGATAATGTCAGGGTGGGATAGTAAGACGGCTATCTATACTTTACTAAATATATTATCTAGTTACCTAAGATTAGTTATTAATCTTCTTTAGATTATAGACTAGCTTAGTATTTAGAATACTTAACTATCTAGTAGTTAATAGAAATAGGTTATATAAGGTAAAAAAAGAAGAGGATAATAAAATACTAGTTATAAAATTTAATAAACTTAATTATTATATAGGAGTAATAGTTATCTATAAGAAGTAGGTATAGTCTACCCTTCTTAACCTAGGATATTAAGGCTTTATAAAAAGAATAAAGCTATTTAAAAGTAGTATTACTATTAATCTAGCTATTAGGTATAGGTTTAATTTAAAAATTAGGTATTTTAATATTTTTATACCACTCTTCTATATATAAAGAACCCCTTAGTAAAAACTAGGGTAGTATAACCTAACTATTAGTACTTATATATTTAATACTAGTAATTAATTCCTTTTAACTACTAGTCTAATTAGTAAAATTAATATTAGATATAAGTTCCTTTTAGTATTTTCCTTAACTAATTTAGTAGTTAGTTTTATCCTAGTTAAAGATCTTATTTAGTAGAAAGTAATACTTTTTAAAGAGAAGATTAAGGTTATTAAACTAAAGAAGTAGTAGGCTATATTACTTACTATCTACCCTCGATTTTTTAGATATTTTTAGGAATATATAGGGTATTATAGGTAATAGTCTTTATATATACTAATAGACCTAATTTAAGCCTACTATCTAATCGCTTCTAGTATAGTATAGAATTAAATTTATAACCTCTTTAAGAATTAAATTAGGAATTACTATATTACTAATATAGAGAGTATTAATCTATATTCTTAACTTTCTCTTAGATTAGGCTTAGGGTCTTTTTTAGACTAGTAGTAGTGGTTTTAGTCCTATACCTATAAATATAGGCGTAAAGCCGTTAGTATAGAACCTTAAATTCCTATACTAATTAAGCGATATTAGGTTTTTCGGCTTTATAGTAAGTATAAATAGCCTCTAAGATTCTATCCTCGAGATTTTCAATTTAATCTACTATGGTAGTAGGGTATAGGATATTAATAAAGTAGGTAACGAAGACTAAAATTATTGTTAAGTGAAAATTATCGTTAAGTGGGGTATACCAATACATAACATATGTATTAGGCGCTTGGCACAATTCTAGTCTATCTAGTACTTTATATATATTATATATATACTACTTCTTAGTTTATAAATAAATAAGGATATTATTAAGGTATATAATATAGTAGATATTAAGTAGATTACTTAATACTCTATTAATATATAACTAGAATATTATAGATATATTTACTAATCTAAATAGTATAACTATATACTTAAAATAACTATATTAGGTCTAGAATATAGTTTTCTATTTATTATCCTTATAAATCTAAATATAATAATATATATCTTTTAAATTAAGCTATATAAAGATCTTTATATTAGATAGCTAATCTATAGTCTTATTAATTAGTAGTAAGGAATACTAATTCTTAAGAGTTAATATATTAAGTCCCTAGTAATCTATATATAGATATAACCCTCTATCTTTCTTTAGTATAAATAAAATAGGTATACCTACTAGGCTCTATAATAGCCTAATCTAGCCCTTCTTAATATATTCTTTAATATAATCTTAAAGTACTATAAGTTCTATCTTAGAAAGAGGGTAGATTAGCTTATAAGGAATTTATTTACCTACTTCTATTTTAATAGTATAATTATATTTATTATTCTTTAATAACTTCCCTACTTTTTTAGGATTAAAGATATTAGTTTAGTCTAAATACTAAATAGATAAATCTTTCTCTATACCTTATACTATAGTAAAGAGTAGGATAGGCTTACCTTTTATAATTAAATAAAGATATACTATAAGTATAAGGAAGGGCCTTATAGAGGATCTCTTATATAAAGGCTACTATAATTATCTTTTTAGTCTTCTTATTAGATAGGTAATAATATTATACCTAGTTTTTCTAATTAATATTAGGATTAATAGATTTTAGCTAATTATAACTAATAATTATATTATAACCTATTATCTTAACTACTTTATAGGAAAGTATATAGCTATATATTATATCCCTACTATCTTATAGCTTACTATTTAGCTTTTAAAAGCTATAGAATTAGACTATATAATTATCTATAATTATAATAGGTTTTAAGGAGCCTATATTTATATATAAAAGGTACTATTTAATCTAATTCTAACTAATAAAGGTTTTCTTAGCCTTACTATCTATTAGTATCTATATAGTTTACTTCCTATTATTAGTTTTAATACTAACTTTATAAATAAAAGTAAGTTCTAATTCTTACTTAATATTATTAAGCCCTAATACTACTAATATTATAAATATTAAGGTACTTAGTTTTTTAACTATAAATCCCTCTTAGTCTCTTTATAAATATTTATATAATAGCCTAGTTTTCTATACTTAAAGTAGTTACTATAAGGGATACTATTAGGGTTTATTTTTTATTTATTATACTTATACTTATACTTTTTATTAGGTTTTTTACCCTACTTATCCTTACCTTTATTTTTAAACTTAGCTTTATATTTCTTTATATCTAATATAAATAAGGTATAAGAGCTAAGACTAATATTTAAGCTTAGATCTATTTTAATAGTATTATTCTTACTACTATTAGCGCTTTTCTCTTTCTATATATAAAGTAATTTCTATTAATTAAGGATTTAGCTTTCTACTATTTCTAGCTTAGTAGGCTATTTTAATAACTTAGTATAAATAGTATTAATTACTTTAGCCTAGAGGTACTTCTTTTAATACTATTAACTATATAAGTACTTTAGATAATAATAAATAGTATTAAGCTATATTATATATATCTATATAGATTAATATTACTTCTACTATAGAATACTATACTCTAATATAATATCTTAATAGATATTTTAAGGATTATTTATAAGATATAGATAGAAGTCCTAGAAATCTTACTAGATAGTAAGCTCTTTAAATATCTTTATATAAGACTACTAATTATTATTCCTTTAATTATCTAATTATTTAATTATAGCCTCTACTTTATATAGGCTAAAATTATACTATTACTAGTACTTATTAAAGTATAACTAAAGTTAGTTAATAAAGATATAGTATTCCTAGGTTATATTTCTATAGAATAGTTTAATATTTATAGGCTCTCTTAATATATAAATATAGTATTTTTTAATAACCTATAGTATAATATAGTTATTTATACTTATTAGAGTAAGAGGCTTTACTTATTCTAAGATTTCTAATTATATAAGGAGGTTCTAATATTCCTCTCTTACCTTAGTTTCTTTAATATATTTCCTTAGTTAATTAAATATTAATAGGGAAGGATTTATAGGGTACTATACTAATATTAGGTCTAATAGTATAGTAGTTTCCTATATTAACTCTAAGGTATCTATAAGAGGATAGTTTATAATAGAAGGAAGGGTTTAATTAATCGAAGCCTATTTATTAGGCTATAGTATTATAGGGAGTCCCTATAACTATATATTATAAAGGTTCGATATAATATAAATAAGGGGTAGTCTCTATTAGGTAATCTAAGTATATAACGTAATTCATACACGAGCCGCCACCACATATAACCCGCCACCCCATTCAATAATCTAGTTTTTAAATACATTTATCTCAACCATAACGCCATTAAATTAATTAAACTAAATTCAACTATCTTTCTGGATACCTATTAATTTTATGCCTGGTTCTTCTATACCCACTATACCTTACTGCAGCCTATAGATATGGTTCTAACCCTAATTGAGGGCTTCCGCGCGGGGGGTATAGAGGTACTTCTAATACTTCTACTACCTTAGTAATCAATTAAGAAGCTTCTTAAACTAAGAGGCCTTCTTCAGCGGGTATCTGCCTTCTAGATTAGGTCCATTTTTGCTTCTTCTTCTTATTTTTATCCTGTAACTCCTTGTTTTCTTTCGCTAGTAAAATAGCGCTATATATCGTAAGCTGGCAGCCTTTAATAAGTTAGTTTAATATATATTTAGAAGGACTTATTAGGCTTCGAGATTATATATAAAGTAAAGTATGATCCTATGTGGTAGGCCACCTATATATATATACCACTGCAGTAAAGTCAGTTCCCATGAACTGACTTTACTATGACCTTTTGGTCTAATAGGTAACTGTGCGGAGCAGTGGCCGTCGGATCTCATAAAGTCAGTTCATAACCGGGTCTTAGAGGGTTATAGTTCAATTCCGGTATATACGGAATTTATCTACCTATTATTATAATCATACCTTTAGATTAATTATATAATAGCCTCTAATACTTAACCTAGATAAGGCCTATATTAAGCTACTTTGAGTTCTGCCTTACTCTTATGTAGGTCCCTTAGAGGGCGATATATATATATATATAGCCTTACTTACTAAGAAACTAGAGATAGTGATCTTCCGGCTTAGTTAACCAATTCTAGCCTAAGGATTAATAAGATTAACCTTAAAAATTGGGCAAAAATCCTAGGTATGATTTACATTTAGTAGGGGAGGATATAATCCCATATAGTAGGGTACCTAATATATATATACCACTGCAGTGAAGTCAGTTCCCATAAACTGACTTTGCTATAACCTTTTGGTCTAATGGGTAACTGTGCGGAGTAGTGGCCGTCGGATCTCAAAAGCATT